TTGGTGGTTGGTGGCTCCTGGCCTTACTACTAGGAGCAAGGACGCTACTAGTGGCAAAGGGCATCGCCACTAGGAGCAAGGACGCTACTAGGGGCTCCTGGCCTCACTACTAGGAGCAAGGACGCTACTAGTGGCAAAGGGCATCGCTACTAGGAGCAAGGACGCTACTAGCCAAACACAAGAAGGGTTAAAAGCCTAATGACACAACACATGCTTCAAATAGCCCTATGCTAACATGACCCTCTCCAAAAAATCTCGCAGTACAGTTCACTCCAGCGTATCCTCCATTTATGAAGGGTTTGGTTGTTGCATTGATCCAGTTGATCCAAAGAACAATTCAGAACAAATTGTGTGGCACCTGATATCCCCCTGGCTCCCAAACTTGTTCACTTGCCTTTTGGCTGAGGCGCGAGGTGATTGACCAAGGATCTTCGCCCTGACCAGGTCAGAACGCTCCCAAGCTCCGACACTAACTGGCAATCGTGGTATTGGTTAAGAGGTCTTATGCAAACAGCAAGAAGAGTCTAACGGTCCAAACACAGAAACACAAGAAAGAAAAAACTGGAGAAGAGAAGCAAAGTTTCAAAGGAAACAAATATGAACACATAATACAACAAGCGCTGCCTGTACTAGCACGCTAGCCGCTAGCCCAAACAATCAGGCTCGTTTGGACAAGACCTCTGAACCCCTTCAGCAAAAGAAATCTCATCAAAGCCATCACCGTGGTCTGTTCTTTTAGACCTTTACAGTAACTTTAGACCTTTTTTTCGTTTGTAGCCTTTTTGTTCTCTGTTGACCTTTAGTCCATTCTATAGCTCGTTGCAAATCCATCGTGCGGAACCACCCCGGTCCTTTCCAGTGACCCTCACCAAACGTGGACACTTCTGCTGCTCCGCGGCCGCCAGCAACTGCGCAATGGCCTCGCAGTTCACCTCGGCCATGGCGACATTTGGGGCAGCTGAGCCCCTGAGAATGTTTTTTCAATTTCAATCGATCAGATGACGCTACCAACAAATGAAGTCCGCCAGCCACGCTACTAGTAACAAGTGCCACGCTACTAGTAACAAGCGCCTTACTAGTAGTAACAAGAAGCTATTGGAAACAAGTGCCCAACTAGTAACAAACGAAGTCCGCTTCTTTTGACGCTCAAAGTCGAGCGTTCGACCGCCGTTCGACCGCCCACGCCTGCCGTCCATGGTTGGAGTCTTCACGTTCCTGGGCACTCGGCGAAGACTCGCTCGCTCGGCTGTGACCGGGACTCACTGACCGAGCGGGTCGCGGGTCTTGTCCCACTTGCAAATGTCCAGAGTGGTGGATTTCCCCGATGGGCTAGGTGTTGATGAACACCTTCATACCCCCTCAACTACACGCAGTTCTCCGGAACACCAAACCTGAAGATCGACAAAAGAGCGGCGCGCAGTTGTCCAAAAGAACCCGAAAGAGGCGGATAGTGCATCGCTACTAGTAACAAGTGCCTTACTAGTAGTAACAAGAAGCTACTAGAAACAAGTGCATCGCTGCTAGTAACAAGTGCCTAACTAGTAGTAACAAGAAGCTACTAGAAACAAGTGC